TTTAATGAAATGGTGTTGTGAAAGTGTTTCTAAAGCTTGAAGACACTCTGTTAACACAATAGGTCCTTTTTAAACTAATTTCGACAATGGAACGAGTGAGCAGGTGCTCATATGATGGTCAACTCTGCACAGAGGCAAGACAGGAAGGGATTATGGCCCTGGACAGAAATAGCCCAGGGCACTTTAAAGGTCACGGTAGGAATCTCAGATACCCTACGCTTTTTAGGTCCCCAAACTTCCTGAAATGTTTTCATATAAAGTTGTGTTTATCGCCAGTAGGACTTTATGCGGGAGAAGGAGCCTGAGACTCCTGAGGTTAAGGTGCTTAGTAGGCACATACAATTGGTTAACAGCAGAGCCAGGACTAGGGCAAACTTCCTAGCTCCTACTCTAAAGCTCTGACCACTCCAGAAAAACCCTCCAGCATTATTCAAGTCCTTGAGTGCCAATTTCCTTTGTTTCAAGCCCATACAAGTTAATGAACAAAAACAAGAAGAGATAATATAATTTCCCTGTACTTCTGATACCTCGCCTATGAACAGTTTTCACATGGGAAGTAATGGGCACCATGTTGCATCTAAATTGGTTTCCTTGCTGCAAAGCCAAATCCATCTGTTTTCAGGTGAGAAAAGCTGGGTGCTTATGGCCTCCCTGTGGAGTTCAGCATGGAGATTTGACAAGGCAGAAGCATCATGATGGGCTCTTCTAATGAAAAAGCTAGACCAGTATTAGATTGCAGAGGGGTCCCATCTGTTTGCGAGGTTCTCTGCTTTGAGCTAGATTTCTTTATGTTGAAGCTGGCCAATACATTGATTTAAAGGGGTGGTTCAGTTGATTAAGCGTCCAACACTTGATATCGGCTTAGGTCATGATCTCACAGTTCATTGGGATTGAGAGCCACGATGGGCTCTGTGTTGACAGCACAGAGCCTGCTTGGGTTTCTCTCTCTCCTTTTCTCTCTCTGCCCCTCTCCTGCCCATGTGCACATGTGCTCTTTCTGTCTCTCAAAATAAATAAACTTAAAAAAAAAAGATTGCTATGTTAAAGAGTTTGTTCAGTTCAGGGTGCTATAACAAAAATACCATAGACTGGGTGTCTTAAACAACAAATATCTATTTCTCACAGTCTTGGAGTCTGGAAAGTCCGAGATCAAAGTGCAGGTAGACCTATTCTCTCTTGAGGACCTGCCTCTTGGCTTGTAGATATGTTACCTTCTCCCTTATACTCATGTGCCTGAGAAAGAGATGGTGTCTTCTTACAAGGGCATTAATCCCATAAATGTGGACTCCACCATTATGACCTAATTATCATACCTCCATATACCAACACATTGAGGATTAGGCTTCAACATATGAATTTGGGGGGGAAACAAACATGTAATTCATAACTCCATTACCTTGCCTGTTCGACCTGATTTTTACTCTGTCTGATTTATATCCCTCTAAGAAGTGTAAGCAATAGCCCGTTTTTTATTTCAATTACACAGACCATTTTCCTTCCTACTGAAATGAGAATAGGATGAATTTGCAATAAAATAAGTAGTTTTGTGAAGTAAACACTCAAACTGATGAAGGCTTGTTGCGTAACAGAGGTGACCTTTCCTTCCCCCTTCACAGTATAAGTAATAGTGTTATCAAGGCAAATTTGTATTATAAACTTTTCATCAAAGAACTATATATGCATCATTTATATGTGCACACATATTGGTAGATTTTTATGAACCTTTGAAAACCTGGAAATACAATTTATATTGCTTTTGTAGTCTATACCACACAATTAAGCACTTAATTATGCAGTAATTCTTTTCACATGTTAGTTTTGAAAGCCCTTAGGAGTTGAAGGTCATGTACTAAACTTTTATGTCCTCCACCAGACCTAACACAATCTTAAGCATGTAGAAGGTGTTCGCGAAATATTTTTTAATTGGTTGATTTCAACAGATAGAATATTTCTCCTTAAGTATTCACAAACAGCTGCAGAGGGAGGGAGGATCCAGTGGGTGAAGAACTGTTAAGTGCCATGTCAAAGAAGATGTGATCACATTTGCAGCTTAGGAGGATGACTCTGAAGCCTGCGTGGGGGATGGGGCTGGAAGGGGAAAGGAGGTGGCAGATGATGGTAGCAGGAAGATCTTTTGGATGCTGTTTATTGGCCCGGGTGGGAAAAATGTCTCAATAGTGGCAATGATGGGACATGGAAAAGATAAAACAGATGCGGGAGATATGTAGTAAATACAATCAGTGGAATCTCACCGGAGTAGAAAAGGGAATCTGCAATGACCCCTAGGTTTCAGGCTTAGATAGTTGTGTCATTATCCAAAATAGGAAACACTGCATGATGAGTAAGTCAGGAGTGGGAAGGGATAAAGAATTTCATATTGGACCTTTGGAGTGTGGGAACCAGCAGAAAATCTAGATAAAAAGTTCTAGTTAGAAATTATAAATGTGTGGGCCCATCTCACGGAGAAGAGGGAAGTTTGAAGCACAGATTTAGACTTGAGGGTTGTCAGAGCACGGATGGTAGTTTAAGGTGTGGGTGTCGATGAGAGGGAGTGAGGACAGGAGCGTGTGCAGCTTTATGACAGGCCCAGGAAGGAACTTGAGAGGAAGCTACTGGGGGCACAGGAGAGGTGAGGGTGGTGCCCTGAGGCCTCGCGGGGGCACACAAGAAGTGACTACAGTCAATAAAATCAAAGGTCAAACTGCTGGAGAAAGGTGACTGGTGATTAGCACTCAGAGAAAGCAAATGTCAGATGATGGCAGTGCCCAGGTTGCAGCTGCAGGAGAAGCTCTTGAAGGTTCACTCCTGACACACTCCTGCACTGTGACCCTTACCAGAGCCTCAAACTTTACCTTTTTCCTTTGTATTCACACCTTCCCCCGTCTCCAAATCTCACAATTCAACCATAGTCTCACTCTTGCATGCAATCTCTCTATCCGTTCCCAACATAGGTTCTGTTGTTTGTTTTGAAATGGTGCCATTGGGGCTGTGTTTGTTGGACAAAAAAAAAAAAAAAATGAGGCTGTATAACCAAAAGGCAAAACTGGGTTTCTACAGATATAAAAGGAACCAATGACCAATTAGGAGGGAAATTGTGATTCAGTATAAAAAGCCTTGTCTAACTGGCAAAGCTACATAACAATGACATCGTCAGCCCAGTTGGGTGCTGAGTCATCTATGCCTGGAAACATCCAGGAATAGAGGTGATAATAATATCTCTTACTTGTATCCATTTTATGATTTCCAAGGTGCTGTATAGGGAGACTCCCCTTCTTGGCTTTGTGTTTAATGACCTTGCTGATGCTTCCCCATCTACTTTGGTCAAGAACTTCAAACTAAAAGCCCACTGCTAAACACTGTCACTGACATTTGAGTTGGTTTCAGAAAGTCCCAAATGGTTTTTGACAACTGAGCAGCATTTGTTGAGCCATTCAAGTATATTTGTGCACATGTGATACTCATTCATTCATCTGTCCATTCATCTATAACATGTATTGAGCATCTATGCAGTGCCAAGCACTGTCCAGGCGCTAAGGATGCAGAGAGAAGGAAGCAAAGCCGCGAGCCCTGCAGCAGAGGGTGTTTATGCCCCAGTAATCATCTATTCATCCTGTAAATCGCCTGCTGACAGGTCCCATCCAGGCCAATGGCTTCCAGCTTCTCTGTGCCTCAGGGTGTTCTCTGGCCATGGCATACTTGGCCCATGCATAGGAGCATTCCTCTGCCCATGATGGGGGTAAGTTGGTGAATAAGTGCCCCCGCTTCCTTGTTCTTTGGTCAGACAATGTGAGGTGTGATCTTTTTAGAATGTCCAAGGCTCGCCAATAGAACTGAGCCCAGTTCTTGAGCCCACAGCAGAAACGTTATTAAAGCTCTGTCTCTTGTCTCTCTTCCATTCTTGTCTCACTTCCTCACTTGAAAACTGTGCTTCTTTTTTTGTTTGTTTGTTTATTTTTGAGAGAGAGAGAGAGACAGAGCCTGAGCAGTGGAGGGGCAGAGAGAGAGAGAGGGAGACACAGAATCCAAAGCAGGCTCCAGGCTGTGAGCTGTCAGCACAGAGCCCAATGCGGGGCTCGAACTGACAAACTGCGAGATCATGACCTGAGTCAGACGCTTAACCGACTGAGCCACCCAGGAGCCCCTGAAAACTGTGCTGCTTGGGAGCATCTTCTAAATAAACTACTTGCACTCAAATCCTTAATTCAGGAATTGCCTTTGGGGGAACATGTCCTCAGGGGCCTTCCAACCTACTAGGGCACATGCATTATTATTAAGGCTATAGATTCACTTGAGTAAACCATACTGAGAAAATCAGAGGCACCTTCCTTAGGAAGGACAAATGCATCATGTGGCTATCCCTTTCAGTGCCTTTAGGACAGAATTTAACTTGCAAAAAGATACTCAGGGACACCTGCAAGGCAAAGCCAGTCCAGAACACCTGTGCCGAGCTTTGGCACACAGAAATGAAATTTCCAAGTATCCCACAGGCACCACCATGCAGCACATGTACAAGAGGAAAATAGGGAGAGTACGGGAGGAAAAAGATCAGTGTAAAGTGCCCTGTAATGGCCTCATTTTAGCCACCGGTTGTCTTTGTCTTCACTGGGGAGCACACGCACTCTGACTCAGTAAGACTTTTTATCCCTGGACACAAGGTCACTCCTGTGGCAGCTTTGGTTGTTGGCTGCTGGTTGGGAGGAATTTGAAAAATCTGGGACTTCATGCCCCCAAAAGAGCAGCATCATGGATAAGCGGAAATAGTATCTGACAGGCAGCCTGATATCCTCCTTTTATACTAATGTCCTTGAAACACAGGTGTAAGTGATTAGGATCACAACCACAACCTTCTCTAAGGCCATCTAGTGTCCCCTGGTCAGACATGGTTTGTGCAAAAAGGATCAGTGTGAGCTTTAGGGTCTGCTCCCCATTGAATTTCAGTTAAGTTTAAGCATGTCTAGCAAACTATTGGAAAAGCTTCAAGACCAGTCCATATCATAAGCTGATTTACCTGAAAGCTTTTATTGTTATAGGGAGGAAGCTTTGAGCTCTGTTTTCTGGGGCAGAGAAGGCAGATATGAGGTGACTGTCCTCTGTCAGTCCCCATGAGATGGGTCCTTCAAGCCCAGTGGAGAGGACTTGAGGAAGAGGCAGAAGGAGTTGTTATCCTTGTGGAGGCCCCAGCAGAGCAGCTTTGGGCATGTGTTAGCCATGGGTCAGAGCTCAGAAAGATGATCCTCTCCATTTCCCTCTGGACACAGCAGGGCGGTAAGGCCAGAGGAAATGCGGGACCGTGAGATTATTTGATGGGGTCTCCGGCGTGGGGGAACCAGCGGAGGGAACCAGCAGCCATGCTCCTTTGCTCTCTGGCTGTGTTGCAGCAGGCACACACCCCTCGTATGAATGAGACCGCAGAACACAATGAGGGGGCTGGGAAGGAGACATTAGAGAACTATGGGAACTCCTATAAAATACCCAAAGTGATCCCAGAAGTGATCAGCAGACATTTTGTACCGGGACAGAGAAAGAATTTGGTTCTTTTTTTTTTTTTTTTTTTTTTTGTAAATTGAATTTATTTATTTATTTTTGAGAGAGAGAAAGAGCGCATGTATGCACACACATGCCAGAGCATGAGAGGCAGAGAGAGGCGAAGAGAATCCCAAGCAGGCTCCAAGCTGTCAACGTGGAGTCCCATGTGGGTCTCAAACTCACGAACCATGAGATCATGACTGAGCCAAAATCAAGAGTCAGACACTTAACCAACTGAGCCACCCAGGTGCCCTGAGAATTTGGTTCTTTTGCATGGAGGTAGGAGTGAAATTTTCAGTTTAAAAATTCTAATTCAAAGATTGGGAAAACTGGCCCAAACTTGTATCTGTATATGGTGGAGAGGCTCACCAAGTCAAGTGCTGTTCAACAGCTCCTGGGAAACCATAGGCAGGACCACGTGGTCTTCAGGGGTCTCCAAAAGTTACTGGTCTCAGTGCACGCCATTTCTGGGCATGAACAATGAACTACTGGCCAGGGAACCCGAATGTTTCCAAAGGCCATTTGTCCAAAATTTGACTTTACAGGTGTCCAAATCATGTTCAGAGTTTTAAACTATTATTATAAACTTGTTTTAATTTTGCAGCTTTATCCTTAGCTAATCTATGCATAGGTGCAAAAGCAAGTTACTTTTCTAGGATTTTTATCGCTCTGAATTAGGGCCACCAGATTGAGCTGATAAAACACAAGACATCTAGTTAAATTTGAATTTCAGATAAACAAATAATTTTCATTATAAAAAATTAGCATGCAATATTTGGGACATATTTATACTAAAAGTTATTCATTATTTATGTAAAATTCAAACTTAATTATGCATCCCGTTTTTTATCTGGCATCCCTACTCTGAAAAGATCTTTCCCTAGAGAGCAGAGCCACAAAACATCTGGAATAAGGGAAAAGTTCTGTGGTCCTTTTTCATGCCGGGTAAAACTTCAAGTAGCTGATTGATTTGTCTTTCTTAGGTTATAGTCTCCATTTACTTCCCAAAAGGATTACAATGGCATAAAACAAAAGGCACAAACAATCAAACTATTAAAATAGAAACTGAAAATCAAAAGAAATAGAAAAAGATGGGAAAGTTTGAATTCCAAAAGCCTAGACTGGTATGATTATGGTTGATCTTCACATTTGCTTCTGAAGTCTTTGGCAGGCCAAAGCCAAGAGAAAACATTGTTGAATACAAGGACACAGACGATTCAAGCTTTTTTTCTGGTCCTAACTCTTAGAGGACTCTACCGTGTGGGTCATTATACATAGAACAGCATGCTAGCCAGTGTGGTCTGACATGACAGCAAGGTAGGGGGCTCCAACACCTGTAACACCTCACCCCCTTTCTTCAGCTCTCACCTCGTTTACTCATCTATAGCGAGACATCCTCCACTGAGTACATTACAAACGTAAGATATTGTTACTAGACCTGGGACTAAGGATATCAACAATGGCAATAATAGTAATGTGTTCTGGGAGGGTTTTACAGAAGACACACAAACATTCTTCAAGTGACTGTTGTAACACTCACCCTTGATTTTAAGACTGAGACACAACTTTCCAATGTAATTCAGCAAAGGCCTTTCTTGCAAGGCAGGGCATAAAACCAAGTATATCCTGGCTAACCACTTGCCTCTTGAACTTCATAAATGGGATGAAGCTCAGGGCAATCCGTGGGTGCTGTGGCTTCACAGAGCACCAGTAAACCAAAGAATCTTTCCTTTACCATTGCTCATAATCTCCCCAGCCTGGAACTTGAAAAATTGTCTGGACCGAAAAGTAAATGGGAGTGCCCGTCTAAACCCAAAGCAGGGCTGCAGGCAGTCCTTCTCTCAAGGAATTGGCAATGGTTGGCCACAGCACCAGGAGAAGGAAAGATACGTGTCTGTGGCTACCCCTGGATTTGCAGACTGGCTGTGGAATGCAAATGCTTGGTCACTGAGAATGGTTGCCAGGAGCCAGTGGAATATCAGTATGGCTACCACTGGGTTCTTTCTGCATCAGCCATATTTGTGTGTTGCCTGCTTCTCTTTCAAAGGGGAGGGTCAGAGGGCTCCCGTCCTACTCACAGAATCCCTAGAGATAACATACTTCATCCTGGAAATAATGTAATAACAGCAACAATCGTTAGATGCTGTGCTGTTTCATATGCCTGACCTCATTAAATCCCAATAAGAAGGGTCTAGTATTACTCTCATTTTACTATAAGAAAACAGATTTGAAAATGATTCTTTCTACCAAGTGAGTAGGGGAGAAAAAGACCTCTGGGACTCAGGAAAGAAGACCGTTGAATTTTCTGTTCTTATTTGCAGGGGTGGTTAACTGGGAGAGGTGCAAAACCTGAGGGCCATTCATTCACCAATTGAAATCACGATTAAGTCCTTAGTACGAGACTAGCATCAGGATAATCTCATGAAGAATGCACAGATGGCTGCTGTCCACACACACTTACAATCTAGTCCAGTTTACAAATTAACCGGTTTAGAATATACCATTGGAAAGGTGTCTACAAAACCTCCTGTCCCCCTACCATCCCTTCTGAGCCACAGCCTTTCTCAGATGCTTAATTTGAATATCAAAGGCAGCCAGAGGTGTTGATAAGGGGACATTATTTTGCACCTGACTGATTCCCTCAAGACACAGAGGGTTTAGAGGCCAAGTTGACTCTTAGGGCCTCAAGACGGTTTGGTCCAGCTGGCAGGCTGCTTCCCTGGCACCTTTGAATGAGGCCCCTGATTTTTCTAGGTATATGCAGGCCTTTCAGACTGGAGGGGCTTCAGAGTGCCTTCATCCCATTGGAGATACTAGCCCACCTTATTTTCTGTCTAAAATAGTTACCATCACCTCTTGGGCAGAGAATGGAGGAGGAATGAGGTGGGTGCTGTAACTCATTCTAAAAATAGACCACACTGGTGAGTGAGGGTGAGAATGGTTGGCCATAGAGGTAGGGGGTGTGTGGTGCCTCTCTCCTTTGGAAGGGTGTTCCTCAATGGGGCATCAGAGCCACAGACAGCCCCCAAGAGCCACAGCTCTGAAGGACAAACAAGCCAGCCCTCCATGGGACCACAGAGCCCCATTTCCGCGATTTGAAGCAACTTGAAGCTTTCTCCATGGGAGCCTCCCCAGTTCTCCCTGTTTTCCAAGTGAGTAGCCTGCATTGTAAAGAGTTCTTCCTTTGCTTTGTGTACTTCTTGCATTTTTAAACAGCAGTTTCTCAGAACAGATGCTCTCTTCCCTTCTTTCTGGTGGCTTTCTGCACAAACAGCAGATTGTCTGCTTCTGTCATCTTAATCGAGGGAAGGAGAGAAACATGTTAATCATGTTATTTTTCTCTTCCTTCTGCCTGCAATTAGTTATGTGAGCCAAGGGCCCCCTCTCTCTCGTGCTAACACCCCACGCAGGTGATTTTCCTGTGCACGGCTCACCAAACCTGCTTCCCTTTGACTGGAGGGGTTCTTTTAAAACAGACACCTTGGTTTCTTTTTTAGATTTTGCTTCCTTTGACCTCCCCAGAAGTCAGGTTGCCTTGCAGTCCCTGGTTATGTCTTGATTTCTGCTCCCCCTGTATATTAAAGTCCCAAGACCAGGTTGAAATCTATGGGGACCATCCCGTAGATGCACCACACAGCTCCAGGGGGCATCATTCACACAAGCTGTGTATCTATCTGATGGTCGCGCAATATGATGCACAGATGTTGTGCAAAACAAACACAGTACTAAGCCATAAAACAAACGTAATGAAATGCAATACAACTGTGGGGATTTTTCTCATGATAACTGCTTTAATGCTCGTTTCAAAATAACACATATAGATTCCCCTCCAACACTCTTTGTTTGGTGCTATAAACTCGTGAGTAGCCCACCCACTGAGTAGAACGACCAGAAGGCTCCTTGCATCTCTCTACTTTGGCAGGTGCCCCCATGTGCCAGAGAACTAAAACGGGCATATTTAATCCTGAGAAAGAAAAGAGTAGGATGAGCATGAAGATTTGCCTTCCAGGGGCACCTGCGTGGCTCAGTCAGTTAAGTGTCTGTCTGACTCTTGACTTCGGCTCAGGTCATGGTCTCACGGTTCGTGGGATCAAGCCCTGCGTTGGGCTCTGCACCGAGTGTGAAACCTTCTTGGGATTCTCTTTTTCCCTCTCTCTTCCCCTCCCCACCCAGAATAAATTTAAAAAAAGAAAAAGAAAAAGATTTGCCTTCTGGAAGAGTAAATCGCCATAGACCAGTAGTGGGAATAGACATTCTCTGCCTCTAATAGGTTCTCAACCTACATAATTTGCTCCAGGCTTCCTTTCAGGGCTGCTCTGAGGAACAGTGGCCTGGCAGGTCTCCTCCCCCTTCCAGCAAAGTAGAAAGGTGGGCTCTGGCGGGGTCCTGTGTGCAGGAATGTCAGTTGGTGCCTAAGCAGGGGAAACAGAAACCACGCAGGTACTTAAAGCAGAGAAGATTTAATGCAGGAATACGTTATGCAGGTTTCTTGCTTGGGGTCCCCAGAAGACCCAGAGACAAGGATTCAAATGCGTGTCGTTTCGCTGGGAGGTGATGCCAGGACATACAAGTAGAGAAGTATACAGCTGGTTGCTAAACACAGCCATTATTAAAAAATAAATCACATGAACTTGTAATTAAATGTATTTTATTAAAAATGGGTAATAAATATTTAAAACGTATTCTTATGTAATCATTTTACTTTTATCTGTGTTCTTTGGGTGATTTATATCTATTGTACAGTATAGTAAAAACACTATATAATGGTATGCCGCGGTGCTTTTCTTATCAGCTCCGTGTTCAGTGATGTTACATTGATGGCCTGAAATCAGTCACGATAGGAGTATTTACACCATGGAAATCAAAACAATGCTATTAACTCAGGGCATGACTTACTGTTTTATTGTTTGTGTAGACTTACGAAAAAGAGAAAACGTTGGTAATGTAGATCGAACTTAAAAGTTGTCATTATATAGACGTTGTTCTGTGGATAGCCCCCACACACAAATCGAGGAAATATTCTCCCAGTATTCAAGAACTATAGTCCCAATTCAGCGAAGAAATTGCTAACATCACTAATGGATAGGTGAATGCATGCATAGCACCAAAGCTGGAAGAGGGTTCAGTGTAATGGATACGGTCTGTGCAAAGGTAAGAAGTACTTTAACAATAGATTACATATCAGAGTAATGATGTCAGCTTTAAGGGGGAGAAAGGCAGGGAGGCAGTTCCATTTGTCAAATCATGGTTGGGTGCAAATACAAGAGTTGAGCAAAAATCACTTAAATCATTCTGTGAGAATCCATTGGCTATATGGAATTTACAGTAAAGAGTTTGTATAGTTTATTATTAATTGTAAATTGTGCACTGCGTATCCTTTATCCATAATAAACTTACATTCATGTAGTGTATTGGACATTTTCTTTTTCCTTGGAAAGCTAATTGTTAAACCTTTACCCGCATACCACTGGTGAAGTACATACATTTAAAGGTGATTCTGCTCCACAAGTTATACTACATTAAAACCCTGAACATCTTGGGGCAACTGGGTGGTTCAGTCGGTTAAGCATCCAACTTCAGCTCAAGTCTCAATCTCACGATCAGTGAGTTCAAGCCCCACATTGGGCTCTGTGCTGACAGCTCAGAGCCTGGAGCCTGCTTTAGATTCTGTGTCTCCCTCTCTGTCTGCCTGTCCCCCACTCATGCTCTGTCTCTCTCTGCTTCTCAAAAATGAATATATGTTGTTTAAAAAAAATGTTTTTTAAACCCTGAATGTCTCATCTGATCCAGATACCTGTAAACTTAGGAAAGTATTTTCTCTCATCCAAAGAATAACACTCCAGTATTTCAATTTCACTTACCAAGTATTTATTAAACATCTATTGTGTATTAGAATGGTTTCATTAAATCATAGGAGCTTAAGAAATCTTTGAGACATTTGAATTTAACCTCATTTTTAAAAATTTTTATTTATCATTGAGGTATGGTTGATGTACAATGTTATATTACATTCAACTTAGTGATTTGACAATTCTGTATATCACTCAGTGCTTACTACTATGTAGTTGTCATCTGTCACCATACATAACTATTACAAGGTTGACCATATTCCCTGTGCCATACTGTTATCACTGTGACTTATTTATTTTATAACTGGAAATTTGTATCTCTTTATCCCCCTCACCTATTTCAGCCATCTTTCACCCCACTTCTCCTCTGGCAACCATGAGTTTACTCTCTGAATTTAAGAGTCTGTTTGTTTGTTGGATTCTACATATAAGTGAAATCATTATCCTATTTGTCTTTCTCTGACTTACTTTACTTAACACGATACCCTCTAGGTCCATCCACGTTATCACAAATGGCAAGATTTCTTTCTTTTTTATGGCTGAGTAATACTCCATTGTATATCTATACCACATCTTCTTTATTCATTCATCTATGGATGAAGACTTGGGTTGCTTCCAGATCTCAGCTTTTGTAAACAGTGCTGCAATAAACACAGGAGTGCATATATCTCTTCCAATAGCGTTTTCATTTTCTTTGGGTAAATACAAAGAATAGAATTGCTGGTTCATATGGTATTTTTATTTTTAATTTTCCCAGGAACTTCCATACTATTTTCCACAGTGGCTGCACCAACTATACTTCCACCAACAGTACAGAAGGGTTCCTTTTTTTCCCACATCCTCTCCAACACTTGTTTATTCTTGTCTTTTTTAGTAGCCATTCTGACTGGTGTGAGGTAATATCTCATTGTGGTTTTGATTTGCATTAACCTGACGATTAGTGATGTTGAGCATCTTGCCACGCATGTGTCTGTTGGCCAAAAATGTCTATTCAGGTCTTCTGCCCATTTTTTAATTGGATTGTTTTGGGTTTGCTTCTTTTTAATTTAAATTT